ATTGCATATATATATATATATATATATATATTAGGGATGTAACGGTATCAGAATTTCACGGTACGGTAATACCTCGGTATGAATGTCACGATACGGTATTTATTGAATCATTTACAGGAAAAAACAAAACTTATGAAAATACTCCAAAAAGGTGCCAAAAGTGTCAATGACATACAAATTAGCCATCTATCGGTAAGCTTTGAAACAGGAACTTCAATTTTAATAACAAAAAAATATTAAACCATGTAAAAAATAAAGTTTCAATTTAGTAGTGTTGAAAATTCATCACATTCAACATTTAATCACTCACTCACTTAGATAGAGATGGCTTTAAAGAAAAATTATCATATAAATATAATCTGGTAAAAGCTGGTATCTCTGGGTATTTACAATGTCCCCTGCAACAGAAAAAAACCCTCTCATTTGGGACTGAGGTTTCTGGGACAAGAGAGATATGACTTGGCCCAGGTTGACAGCAGTGGGTAACGTTGTGCATTGTCTTTCCCCCACTTGAGAGGACAAACCATGAGTGAGATACAGATCTCATGTCTGCATCAATCTGAACAGTGTGCTGTGTTTCTGCAGTCCCCATGACTGATTATTAGTCGTATTCCCCAACTTGCAGGCACGTGCACACACAGTGCTCAACCTGTGCAGTGCACATGCCCTTTTTAGTCTTGGATAGAAAGTTCCCTTCCAAAATGATCAAAAGTGCCCCCGCGACGCGACATACCCTCCGTCCCCGCTTTATAGTACGCGCGCGACAACACCGCTATTCAGTACACGCGCGGCGACAACACCCGCTTTAGGGTTTTCCAGCTCTTTTTGATCCCCGCTTCTAGCAGCACACTCCATTTCCGCATTACTGGATCTGTAGCGACAACAGACCGCAAGGGATTAATGCCAAGCCTGGGCTGATGGGAATTGTAGTTTCCGGTACCTCCCGTTCGCTTCATTCGCCTGAGCAAATTTTCTCAGAAGAACTATAGTTTTACCGAGTCATGCGACTACGGTAATATCGAAAAAAAAATAATATTGCGGTATGACGGTATTTACAATACCGTTACATCCCTAATATATATATATATATATATATAAAACTTTATTCTATTTTACTAAAATGGTCAACAGTTATTTTCAAAACAAGAATATTCAGCAATATTTTAACATTCTATACTAATATAATTATATTATTTAAAAAAATGTATCCGTTTTGATTAGAATGCTTAATTTCCAGCATTGACTACCATCCTAAGTAACCTTGCATTTGGCCACCTCATGGCAGATTTTCAATCTTGAGTTGCTAAGATCACACATATATTGGGCCGAATTGTGATTTCAAGTGCACAACAGGTTTTCTGTGGCCACAGCACTGGAATGAGTGTTGCAGATCTAGAGAATCCTTCAGGCGCCGCAGAGCTCTGCTGATTGATGGACACTCACAACACAAGACAAAAGAGCCAAAGTGTGCATTTCTCCTCAAGACCTTTCAGTCACAGTGATGAAGTGAATCCTGACTTCCACAGAAAGACCATTTGTAATGCTCACTGCAAGCAGCCAGGCATTGACCAACATCTGAAGGATGCGTTGTACAGAATCTGACATATAAGCATTCATATTCCCAAATAACTGTGCTTCTAGTATTTTTTTTTAAATGCTCACTGCTCATGAACATGGAACATTGAGTACGTTTACATGGGCATTGATAATCCAATTTAAATATGATTAAGGCAATACTCTGATTAAGAGTCTACCATGTAAACAGCGATTTGTGATTCATTTAATCCGATTAAGGTCGAACTAAACAAAAATGCAATTAAGATGTGGAGTTTTCCTATTTCAGTCGCATTATTGAAGTGCAGTACAGACATGTAAACACCGCAAGCAAACTATTACAGTTTTGTCAGACTTTTCGCTGCATATTTTACGACAGGACGCACATACAACAGTTTTCAGACATTTTATGACCAACAAATGTGAATAAGGCAACACAAATACATTCAATGTCATCACATAAATCACATTAAAAGGTCACTTAACCCTATTCATGCTTAAAAGGGGATATTCATCATTTGCTCACCCTTGTCACAAAAATGTTTGAGTCCCCACCTTCTGGTGAACGCAAAAGAAGATATTTTGAAAAATGTTGAACACAGCCTATTCACTTCCATATTACATACTATGGTTTTCAATAGCTACCAGTTTAACATTCTTCAAAATGTCTTCTTCTTTATTTTTAACAGAAAAAAAGAATCTGAAACAGGTTAGTGACATGTTAAAGATGAGAGTAATTGAGGACGGTTTGGAAGGAACCATGCCATTAATAAATGTGACAAGCTGATTTCTGCCAGAATGCAACAGCAAATCCAAACGAATCCATGTTAATTTCTCAAACGTGTCGCAAGAAACTGTTGTAGAGAATCTGACATGTAAGCATCATCGTAATATCACTACACATAAATCACTACACAGCTAGTAAATAATCCAAACTCACTCACTCCTCATGAACACAAATCAGAACTCAGAAATCAGTCAAATGACAACCCAAAACTCTTACAATACAACATTTATTAAACGATCAGGAGTCTAGAACAGAACGAAACAATGCAGTGAATGCAATGAATTCGGTCATCATTTACTCACGCTTCACTTGTAAAAAACCTGTTTGAGTTTCGTCCTTCTGTTGAAGGCAAAAGAAGATATTTTGAAAAATGTTGAAGACAGGTGCCGATTCACTTCCATATTTCTTACTATGGTTTTCAATAGCTACCCGTTTAAAATAATCTGCAAAATATCTTCTTTTTTAAGTTGAACAGAAAAAAAAGAATCTCAAACCGGTTTGTGACAAGTTAAAGATGAGAGTAAATGAGGACAGTTTGGAGGGAACCATCCCTTTAATAAATGTGACAAGCTGATTTCTGCTAGGATGCAACAGCAATCCCAATTGCATCCATAATAATTTATCTAACCTGTAAATCACTACACAACTATTAATGATACTAAACCCACACACTCCGCATGAACACAAATCAAAACTCAGAAATCAGACTGATGACAACCCAAAACCATACAAGATTTATCAAACGATCAGGAGTCTAGTACAGAACACAACAACACAGAAAGTTTAATTAAAGGCACAGTACACCCAAAAATCTAAATTTGGTCAACATTTACTCACACTTCACTTGTCACAAACCTGTTTGAGTTTCCTTTTTCTGTTGAAGGCAAAAGAAGATATTTTGAAAAATGTTGAACACAGGTGCCTTTTCACTTCCATATTTCCTACTATGGTTGTCAATAGCTACCCTTTTAAAACATTCTTCAAAATATCTTCTTTTGTGATCAACAGCAAAAAATAATCTCAAACAGGTTTGTGACATGTTAAAGATGAGAGTAAATGAGGACAGTTTGGAGGGAACCCTCCCTTTAATAAAAGTGACAAGCTGATTTCTGCCAGGATTCAACAGCAAATCCAAATGCATCCATATTAATTTCTCAAACCTGTTGCAAGAAATTGTTGTAGAGAATCTGACATGAAAGCAGCATTAATATATTTTCAGAATCACTACACAACTAGTAAATAAACCAAACCCACTCACTTCTCAAACACAAATCAGAACCCAGAAATCAGTCAGATGACAACCCAAAACCATGCAAGATTTATTGATCAGGAGTCTAGTACAGAACAAAACAACACAGAAAGTTGTTGAAGAAATCAACTATTCGGTTTATTTCAACTATTCAGATTTGTCAAAGAAATCTAAATTCGGTCATCATTTACTCACACTTCACTTGTCACAAACCTGTTTAAGTTTCCTTCTTCTGTTGAATACAAAAGAAGATATTTTGAAAAATGCTGAACACAGGTGCCTATTCACTTCCATATTTCCTACTATGGTTGTCAATAGCTACCAGTTTAAAACATTCTTCAAAATATCTTCTTTTTCAAGTTCAACAAAAAAAAAAAAGAATCTCAAACCAGTTTGTGACAAGTTAAAGATGAGAGTAAATGAGAACAGAATTTTTATTTTGGGGAACTTTTAATAAATGTGACAAGCTGATTTCTGCTAGAATGCAACAGCAAATCCAAATGCATCCATGTTAATTTCTCTAACCTGTTGCAAGAAATTACTGTAGAAAATCTGACGTGAAAGCATTAATAACAATATGCATAATAAATCATTAGGCAACTAGTAAATAAACCAAACCCACTCACTCCTCATGAACACTAATCAGAACTCAGAAATCAGTCAGATGACAACCAAAAATCATACAAGATTTATCAAACGATCAGGAGTCTAGTACAGAAACAATGCTGAAAGTTTGATGAAAGGGACAGTTCACCCAAAAAATCCAAATTCGGGCATCATTTACTCACGCTTCACTTGTCACAAACCCGTTTTGTCCTTCTTTTGACGGCAAAAGAAGATAATTTGAAAAATGTTGAACACAGGTTAACTTCCAAATTTCCTACAATGGTTTTCAATAGCTACCGGTTTAAAACATTCTTCAAAATATCTTCTTTTGTTTCTAACAGATTAAACTCATAAATGTTTGAAAGCGCTTCATGTTGAGTAAGCAGTGAGTAAATATTCAGTTCTGAGTAAACTATCCCTTTAATAAATGTGCACAACATGAGAAAATTGAATAGATTTCTGCTAGGATGCGACATAGTAAATTTAGCACAGAGTTAAATGAAACAATTCTAATAATAGTAAAAACAAAACATTTAAATAAAGCAGGACTTACATCGACTCTCCATAATTGATCTCAATCCAAAATCATTTTATCGTCTAGATTAAATAATAAATAGCTGAATAAAATACAAAAAATAAACGTAGCGAGATTTAATAAACGCATAATTCACCCAGATAGGAACATTCCCTCAGGGTTTTCTCACACTCAAAAGGTCTATTCAGATCATTAACGAATAAATGTGCACAGCATGACAAAGTTGAACTGTTTCAGCTAAACATGCAACAGCAAACACTTCGACATACCTGTTTAAGACTTTCTTCATCCTCTGATAAAGCGATGGAGTCGAAGCGCCGACGCTTTCTGGAGGAAGGGTCTCAATAGTGGTGACAACATGGTTCTGGTGCTCGGGCATCATCTCTAAAGCTGAAAACTAAAGCGATCGATCAGTAAAAGCGCTGCTCATTCCTAAGGCTTTGGTTATTCCGGGCAGCTCCAGCTCTCCATGCCGCAGGTGAGGATATAAACAGGTGGATGGATGAATGGCTGGATGTATCTCCGGACAGTGGTGGAGGGAGATGCTGGAGGATCCTATAAGTCGCTGGACGACACTGTTATTATGATCCTTGTCCTCTGTTTGTTTTTTGAGCAGATGTTCGCGGGGGTTTCGGTGCGCATTTTCTGGACGCCAGAGCAGGACTGCCGTGATTATTGGGGAGGTGGTGCGTTTTTAGGGTGAAGAGGAGAGTTTGGCCGCTGGAGGTCGCTGTTTTACACTGACGCGCTTCTGAGAAAGAGATTGGATAAAATGCTGGAATAAAATAATAAATGTTGCGAGATTTATTAAATGGACAATTTATATGAACACTATGAACATTTCTTCTCCGTTTTCTCACTATCAAGTGGTCTAAATGTTTATATATAAAAGCTGATATACCTACTCAAGAATGTTATAAACCAGCAGCTTATACAAAAATAGCTTACAATGGAAGTCAGTTGTTGTTTTTTATTTCATCATTCTTTAAACTGTCTTCTTTTGTGTTCAGAGGAAAAAAACTCTAGGTTTGGAAATAGATAAGGACATATTTAAAGGCCCCCCTTAAATGTAAAATTTCTAAACTAAATGCTGGAATAAAAGGATAGTTCATGCAAAAACATTCTCCCCATTTACTCACACTGAAGTGGTCTAAACTTTAATAAATTAGAAGATATATAAAGTGGAAAATACTGTGGAAGTCATGTGTTGTTTATTCCAACATTCTTCAAGTTGTCTTCTTTTGTGTTTAACAGAATAAAGTAACTCAGTCAGGTTTGGAACAAGTGGAGGATGAGTGAATATTTAAAGTAAACCTTTAAATGTAAAATTACTATAATAAAAGCTAGAATAAATGTATAGTTCAGCCAAAAATGAAAAAATCCTCACCATTTACTAACACTCAAGTGGTCTAAACTTTTATAAATTATATTAAACACAATGGAAGATATGCTGAAGAATGCTGCCACTGACATCTAGGAAAAAATGTTTACTATGGAAATACAGTCTTCAAAATATCTTCTCTTGTGTTTAACAGAAGAAACTCTGACATGTTTGGAACAAGAATTAAAATATTCCAAACATAAAATATTTAAAGTATCCCTAGAAATGTAAAATTACTACAATAAAATATTCATTCATTTTCTTTTCAGCTTATTAATCTCCCATTATTAATCAGGGGTCGCCACAGCGGAATGAACTGCCAACTTATCCAGCACTAGTTTTTACGCAGCAGATGCCCTTCCAGCCACAACCCATCACTTGGAAACACCCACACACTCTCATTCACACACACACACTACGGACAATTTTAGCCTATCACCTGTACCACATGTTTTTGGACTGTGGGGGAAACCGGAGCACCCGGTGGAAACCCACGCGAACATGGGGAGAACATGCAAACTCAACACAGAAACACCAACTGAACCAGCCGAGGCTCGAACCTTCTTGCTGTGAGGCAACAGCACTACCTACTGCGCCACCACGTCGCCTACAATAAAACATTGAGATATTTTATAAAGCAAAAACAAATGCAAGCACATTTAGGCTATATATACATATAAAAAGATCATTATTCAATAAACAAACATGCCACTAAACAATTATTTAAAAATACATGTACATTTTTTACATACAAAACATAAATAATTTATTAAACATAAAATGTATTTATTCAATGGAATAAATACACTTAACAGCCACTTTATTGGGTACACCCTACTAGTACCAGGTTGGACCCGCTTTTGCCTTCAGAACTGCCTTAATACTTCATGGCATAGATTCAACAAGGTACTGGAAATATTCCTCAGAAATTGTGTTAATACAAGGCAGGACTGATCCATGCTTTCATGTAGTTGACACCAAATTCTGACCCCACCATCCAAATGTTGCAGCAGAAGTTGGAGACTCATCAGACCAGGCAACATTTTTCCAATCTTCTATTGTCCAGTTTTGGTGAACCTGTGTAAATTGTAGGCTCAGTTTCCTGTTTTTAGCTGACAGGAGTGGCACCCGGTGTCGTCTTCTGCTGCTGTAGCCCATCTGCCTCAAAGTTGGATGTGTTATGCGTTCAGAGATGCTCTTCTGCATACCACACTTGTAATGAGTGGTTATTTTCCTTTCTATCAGCTGGAACCAGTCTGGCCATTCTCCTCTGACCTCTGGCATCAACTGGCATTTGCGCCCACAGGGACCAGGCCATATCCTGAGCTGCTGCTGCGCTGATGGTCATGGGGAGTGGAGAACATGTGTCTGATTCCAGCAACACTCCAGGGACAGACGAGTCTTCGCTGAGGCCATCTTCCAGCCTCCACCGCGGTGACTGAAGCTCTGTACAAGACTTTTGGCCAGCGGAGACATTAAAATGGTCGTGTACAACTGAGTCTGGTTCTCTCAAGGTTTTTTTTCTTCACTCCCATCAGGTGAAGTTTTTTTTCCCTCTCCGCTGTCGCCACTGCCTCACATGGTTCAGGATTGGTTGAGCTATGCATCGATGAATTGGCTCTTCAGTGTTTGAACTCTCAGTAATGATTAAATCACACTGAACTGAGCTAAACTGAACTGAACTGAACTTAAACACTAAAACCTGAACCACACTGTTCCAGTTACTATGACCATTTATGTGAAGCTGCTTTGACACAATCTACATTGTAAAAGCGCTATACAAATAAAGCTGAATTGAATTGAACTGAACTGCCGCTCACTGGACATTTTCTCTTTTTTACAGACCATTCTCTATAAACCCTAGAGATGGTTGTGCGTGAAAATCCAAGTAGATCAGCAGTTTCTGAAATACTCAGACCAGCCTGTCTGGCACCAACAACCATGCCATATTCAAAGTCACTTAAATCACCTTTCTTCCCCGTTGTGATGCTCGGTCTGAACTGCAGCAGGTCGTCCAGACCATCTCTACATGCCTTAATCTATTGAGTTGCTCTTATGTGATTGACTGATTAGAAATATGGCAATGAGCAGTTGGACAGGTGTACCTGATAAAGTGGCCGGTGAGTGCATATAAACATCTTTATTCAAATGTATTAATTTAATGTAAAAAAACACATATTAATAAATAAATAAATATAAGCATATTTAAGAATAAAACGTTGAATGAAAAAGAAAAACAAGTAAAAAAACAAGTAAATCAAGTATTTATTAAATGAGAAATATAATTAAATAAAAAGCTGCTATTATAACAAATGTAAACAGATTCATTAAATATAAAAATTAGCACATTTCTAAATAAATGTGAGAATATTAAGTAAATATAAGCAATGCATTTTAAGAAATGTCAGCATTTTTTAAGTCTCATGTTAGCTCTTAACCGTCTCTTAAGTTTATATCCATGTATTTGACAGACGCTTTCATCCAAATCAACTCACAGTCAAGGTATATTTCATGTTATTGATGCAACATAAAAAACATCTAATCATACAGGCTCCAAAACTCTGATCATATTCTATAAGCAAAGCGACTTTATTCATATATTCAGTTTGACAAAACTCCCAGCGCACAGACAGAACTCAGAAATGATTGATCTGCGACAACACAAAGATTCTTTACAGAAAGAGAAAAACGAGGCACTTTCTGACAGATGCATTCAAAATGATCACACCTATATGTATATGCTGTTCTGTGCAGTTTTGTGAGGTTTGAGTTGACAATCCTCACCGACAGCCGTTGTGACATTATTAATTCTATAGAACCATTCTGTAAATGAAAATGAAGTGAAATCTAAAAGTTGCAAAGTTACAGCTACCTACGCTGTTAACAATCCCTTGTAGAAACTACTTTCTGGCAGCAGTTCGCCAATAACTTACTGTAAATCAATTACAACAAAATACTGTATTTACATTTACAGAACCATATACCTTGCTGTATATGTATTTACAGAATTATATATATATATATATATTTACTGTAAAATATGCAACACTACAATGCAACTTTATATAAAGTAACAAACTGGATAAGGGTACAGTAAAATGGTAACAGTAACAAACTAGCAGTAAGTATAATTTATACTTTAAACCTTAATTTAAAATATTATATATTTTTTAATATCTAAAATATTTTTTATATATCTAAAAACGTTTTTATAATAAAGAATTATTTAGGGTGTATATTATTTAGAATTGTTTAATATGAAAAATTTCGTATTCGATTTGTGTATTTTCTTCTTTTTTTTTACTAAACCACAGATGATTAGAAATTGATTGTTTTTTATTGAATTTTTTATATAGCGCAAACAAATGGTGTAATAAATGACAAAATAATACATGTAAACATAAAGAGTATTTATAAAATGTAACCTCCACACTGTAAAAATGTAATGACAAAAATTCCAGACAACAAATATTTTATGTTGATTAACAAATTTTATAGGTTAATCAAGTTTTAATTAACTTTTGTAAATTAATATTAATAAAAGTTTTTTTTACTCAATATTTTAAGTCAGTTTGATTTATGTAAGTTGAGATAACTATAAAAGTGAATTTGATTCAACTAAATAATTGAAGGCAGCAAGACTTATTAGTATAATCATAAGTAAACACTGCAATAAGTAAATGCAACCACACAAGTGTGCTAAAAAAAATAAAGTAAATAAGTGAACAAACAATAATCAAATACAAAATATAAATAATTGAATGTAAATATAAGGGGAAAAAATTTATATAGTTTTGTGTATTTTCGTTTAACAAAGAACTAAACAACAGATGTTTATTACACTGTAAAAAAATCCTGGTTGCCCTACATTTTTAAGCAGAATCAAATTAACCTTATGAGTCCATTGAACTTATATTACGTAAACTAACTTAAAACAGCTTGCATAACTTATATATTTAAGTTAGAACATGATTAACTTTGTTTAATAGGTTACAACGACTTAAATGGCTGTCAGGACTAATTGATCATAAAAACTTTAACAGTAATAAAATGTATATATAGACAAAAAGCTTATTTAACAAGCAAATAAAAGAAAAAATATGTATAAACATAAATATTGAAGTATTTATAAAATGTTACCTCTACATTTTAAATGCAAAATTAAGCACTGTAATAAAAAACAAGCAAATTTATTAATATAAAATCAGTATGTAAATAAATGCAAGAATATGTAGTAAATACAGCAATAATTAAATGTAAGCACACAAATGTGCTAAATAAATATAAAGCAAATAATCGAACAAACTAACAAATGGTCAAGTAAAAAATATAA